GCTGTGACATTGTCTGAATTTTTTGCAGCCATGTGATCCAAGAGAGTTTGAATAAAACCTACGTAAATGTACGCACGAGATGTTGGTAAATGATACTTTTTCTCTTTCCAGAAAAGACACAACATTAACAACAAAAGCGGTATTTTTGTCGTCTCTTCGAGGTCCTGCTCCCAGAGGTAGTTAAGTAACCCGGCCTTTAAGGTCCTCCTCGTTAGATAGAATCTTTCTTGCAAAGTGTTCCTTTTGTTCCCAGCTATCGAGCCCGTTGATTTCAAACTGAGCATGACTTGACACTCTAAGCTCATCTTCTTTCACTGGTCGCGTTGTGATCATTACACAAGAGTCTCTCAGCAGACTGCCTCTCCAATCCTGGTTCTGACGGACACATTCATAAAAGTTAGACAAGTTATTGACTGACATCGACCGACATCGGACCATCAGCAGACAACAGTTCGGCGGTTTTCAACATGGTACAGAGGTCCGGAATATCACAAACGTCTCGCAACTTGATTAACAGTGCAAGAACAAACTTTCTGAGGATCTCCTTTTTGCCATCTGCCCAATCAACGGCCAGTTTTTGAGTGAAAGTAGACTTTACTATTCCAGGTCTTCCATACACTAGAATTCGTCTACGGTTGGGATAATGTTCGTCACTTCCAAATACTTCACTACAATCTTCCAGCGTTTCTTTCGTAATTCCATCAGGTTTTCTGTGGTCTTGGAAAAGTGTTAACTTCAGGTAAATGTCATCAATGTGTATCGTGTTTTCTGGGTCCTATGGTGTTATATTCACCTGACACATGGTGTTGTAATACTCTCTCAGCTGATTCTGACACCATTTCAAAAAGGCCGCCGCAGAAAGTGTTAACAAAGAAAAAAAACTAAACAAAATAAAATGTGCCCATGTTTTTCTTCTTTCTTTGAAAATAACAACATCAAAAGCCTCCTCCAAGAACTGTGAATTCTCACTGATTAACCAATGCAAGGTAGTTTTTTTGCAAAAAATTTTTTTATTTTATTTGCAAAATTGTGTCCATACAACAAGAAATTACCTTCAATCTTAATGCGTTTGGCCGCTGAACGTTCCACCTCTGTTGGGTTCATCTCGCTTTGAAGAAAATCTGACGACAAAAAGTTACTTCAGCAAGGGGAGATAGAAAAAAAGGATCCTATAAAAGAATTTTTTTTTAACTCATTACATGTGATTAAAAGAGAGTAATAGATTGCCAGTGAGTTTGATTCAACAATCTCTGAGAGCCCATGAAGTGTGATTACCTCGTTCATGACCCAAAAAATTAAACTTAGGTCAAAATAAAACAAAGAAAAATCAAACCAAAATTAAAGAACATAAAACAAACCAAAAAGTAGAAAATTAATCAATATTAAGCAAACTATATTGCAACTTCATGGCAGCTTTAACTAAAAGGGAACTCTGAGCTGCTTTCAAAGATTCAAGCCATATCAATAATTGTAACCTTATCATTAACTCTAAGTAGCTTTCTCCTAAAAGTGAAAATAAAATTATATTGTAACATTGTTTGAAAGACACAGCCAAAGTTGTTACATACATAAACAAAGACAAAAACACGCACCTCCGTAGTGAGGCCAGTCTCCAAACACAAGGGAGTTACTCAACATGTTGGATACCACAGAAGCCGCCATAACACAAGCAAAAGTCTTCCATGAATGGTTTGTAGATCTACTGCCACGAGCAAAATCACAGACTCCTTTGACAACGAGCCACTCCATTTTCATGTCTCGGGCTGCTGCAAACAGACTTGAGGAAGAAAATGAGTTAGAGTCTGAATAAATGCAATGAGTAAGTAATTATCATGTAACGAGATCCTACTCAGGAGGGGAGTGAGATATAAAAGCTGCTCTGTGTTTCACTAAAACAGCCCGACTGTCTTTCCTGTGTCATCAATGGGAGATTATTAAGGATATAGAGTTTTACTGTTTGGTAGAAATACTTAAAGTGGTAGCAGTTTTCCGGAAGGATATAATAAAAGGGCTGCATGCCTTTTCGGTACAACGTGGTAAATAAAAGGGAAGAGTTTGGATCTTCTTTGCAGAAACAAATTATTAAGTGCATGTACTTCCCCTTGCCTCAGAGCCAGTGGCTAAATAGTCCACCAGTCACAGGCGTCTCCCGCAGTTCAGTGGTAAAAGCATAAAAAGAACATTAACTTGGCAGCACGAAAGCCAAATGGTTGCCCTTGAAGTTCATCTAAACAAATCTTATGAAAGTTGGGTTGTTGAGCAGCCAGCCCAGCGAAAATCTCAAATTGACCGCCATTTCAACGCCGTTGGAATGCGCGTCCATCAAAACCTGCGCAGTCAAAAGTTCGTTACGACGCGGTCAGCCCGGACACTAGCAAAACTAGGCCCGACGGGTAGCCCCACAATATGAATGATTCAGTCAGAAATAAATACCAACCCACTCATGGAGTGAATATTTTGCTAAACGACTATTTTCAACTATTTTAGTTTTTACACAAGATATTCATTCTGAGTGACTGAGACATTTGATGATCTTTGCGCAAAGAAGGAACCAGAGTAAAAGCCATTATATTCTTCATCAGTGACTCCCTTATGGCTGTATGACCTAAACTTTTTCCTGTTTGGTAAAGAGATGAAAATACTGCGGGCAAAACAGGTGGAGGAAACATAGAGACTCCGTGAACAGATAGAAGCTGAAGCAGCGGTCCAACGAAAACAGATGGAGAACATGGTAAAGGCGAGAATGGTGTAAGTTGAAAAACTAAGACAAAATTTCATGCGAGAGCACCAAACCCTCAACAAACGACTTGCACAAATGCAGATATCAAAGAAGACCGTGGAGAACTTGAGATAACAGCTGCAACTCGATGAGAGCCGACAACAGCAAATTGAAAAGCCGGGATTCTTTGACAGAGCGCTGCCAATGACACCGGTCTCGGGCGGGTTCTCTAGCACCCTATCAAAGTGTAGCGTCATGTAAGGCCTCTAAAGTTGTTTCTTATCAAGAAAATTGGTTCGATTTTTAGTAGTTGCATAATATCCGTGTCTAGATTAACGTAATTTACAAAGAATTAACCACCTTAGTGTTATATAATCCGTTTTATGTCAATGGACATGTTCTTGATTCCGTAGATAAACTGAAAACTGTGTCCATAATACCAATTTGAAAAAAGACCTTAGTCGTTTCTTCTAATTATTTACTAGTGCACGCAAACGAAATTCCCTTCCGGAGAAATTTAGCCCGAAACCTAACAGGCTATTGTAGACTCTGTGTACAAGGGATGTAATAAATGTTTGGGATATTCTTTAGTGGCGCACGAGCGACAAAAAGGAGGACAAAGGTCGAGAGGTTTTATTTTATTTATTAGCTTCGCCGACCGGCAGGGACACCGCAATAGCTTGCGCCAATTACTGTGGGTCCTATAAACCAACCATCACACCCCAGGGGAGGGCATCCATCACACAGTAATCTCGTGTGTGGGAAATTAGCGTCTCTTACCCCCAACCCTGCAGGAGACGGGACCTCCATTTTTTCGTCCCTATCCGAGAGACTGCTTACAATCTTTTGACTGTCTCTCTCTTATTTGCCTTGTTCGTTTGTTTCCTCGCCTCAAAATTTGATAGAATTAAAAGCACAGCAGTAAAGAGGAGAGGATGCTAAGGTGACTCTTGATGCCTACTCATCGAAAAGTTCAGCGGAGGAGAATTAAAGGGTGGATGGGCGGGTAGTGGAATGAAATACCAAAAGGTTATTTAAAGGCAAAACACAAAGCAAATAACAAACAACAGCAAAACATCAAAAAGAACATTACAAAGGTCGGTCAGTTGGTCGAACGCAAAAGACGTATATATTCCACAGTTCAGACCGTCAGATTCTGCTGTAAATTAAAGGAAAATCATGCAAATATAAAACCACGAAAATTAACCAGTCTTTCCTCACACCCTAAGGGTACCCATGTCGAGCAATAGTCTCTTGAATTCAAAATCTGGGCACAAATATTCCTCAGCGCGCGACGCATTCAGCTGTACAATAATTTCAACAAATAATTTTAATAAATGTGATTTAGGGTCCGAGCAACAAGGACAAAGGTCGTATTTATTGTCTTTCTCAAACACTCTCATATCAGCTGAACCTTCTTTGGCAATTGAGGCAATGTTTTTTAATAAATCAACAAAAGTAAGAGTACACTGTTGAAAACATTTATCAAAATAAGCTAAGGTAAATTGTTACTTGCTAAAACAAGCATTTAAGCCTGTAACACTGTGTAACGACTTTCACTCTTTTGATCACGAACGATTTTGCAACAATTTTCAGTTCAGTCACGCATCAACAATGTAAGGAATAAAACGAAGCCTATTTGACTACACAACGCTGCCTGTGAACTGATCTAAGCTCAAAAAAAATAACTCTCCCGCTCTTTTCTCTTAAAGTCTGCTTTTCTTTTGAAGAAAAATCATTTTTGTCAGTTGGCGTTAAAGCTTGTGTCGGGGTATCAGTTATTGAAGAAGATCGAAGCATGGGAAGAATGAAAATGGAGTCTGAGAAGGAGAGGTAGTTCTCTCCAATGTTGCAGCTCTCCCCATTTAGATCGTCTACAAAAAGGGAAAGTCTAGTACAGAGTACTCTACGCGATTTTCCTTCAAGGATCAATTCTCCGTTTTTCAAACTAATGACCTGAGAGATTCCCTTTTCGTTCTGATTGACCTGAAAAAACTCACAGTTAAGTTGAACAGTTAAAAAGCCAAACAGACAGAAGAGTGACCAAATTATATCATATTGACAATCTCCAAACAGAACATTGTTTACACTGTATTCTGATTTGCTTGTCTCTCAGATTAAACCTTTGTTAGCTCGCTTCCACAATACACGACTTAAGAACAGCCAAGTTATTCTAAATACTACTCTGCTCATTACTCGCCAAATCAGTTGCCATGGAAACTTTTCTTCCAAGCGCTCACTTAACATGATTATCATCACCATCACCGTCATCATTATCTTCCTACTCCTGTTCATCATCATCATCATCATCATCGTCATCATAGTTCTTGTCACAGTCATCATCCTCATCATCGTTATCCTCCTCCTTCTGCTCATCACCGTCAACGTCATCATTATCCTCATCATCCTCATCCTCATCATCTGGCTCGTTTCTGAACCCAGTAAATTATAACACCGTGTCAGTTTCGTTAAAGATGACAATCATTACACCCTCAACTTTTGGTGAATCATTTCCTATCATCGCTACAAACCTTTAAGAGGTGAAGATATGGCAATAGAATCAACGCGACTTTGAATTTAAAAAAAAACCAATTCGGATTTTAAAAAAGGAAAAAATCCCTTTCGTTTGCTCACTTATTTTTTGGGGGTTCACGCTCCCTTATTGCAAAAGTGAATGAATGCCCGCACAGAATGTAGGGAACAACTTCATCGAATTCGAAGCACGTATGGGTTGAACAATCCTTTCTCGTTAAATAACCAAACCCAAATAAAAGCATTCCACAGTAACAACAGAAGCCGAACAATTTCAAAATTTGAAAATTGAGCATAGGAGTTTAGTCAGAGAAAAATTCTCACTACTCATCTTTTTTTTGTCTCTGTCGAGTAAGGCGTAACTACACAAGCAAAGCAAAGGTCAATCGAATGACCTCCCGAAGTTTTTAATTATTGTGTAATCAGGAAATATCAAGTCATTTGGAAGTCACTAAATTTAATCTTCGTTATTTTTTTTTCTTCAAATCATCTTTGAACAAGCTACGCATGAGCCATAAAAGTACTTAATGTGGGTTGGTTACGGTCTCCATCTATAATATTGGCTCCTAACGTCGTAAAATTGAAAAAGAAAATTCTGAAAACAGTGACTGTTCCTGAAGACTGTATTCTTTCTCACGAAAAATAATCTGATTAATTGAGTCCAAAGCAAGTTATTGGATCCATTATCAAAAGCTCTGCTGAAGAGCATTTAAACAAAAATTAGATACATAACAACTCTTTAAATTCTGTCCTTGTCATCTGAACACCTTCCAGGTGCAGTTGCGCCAGCTCAGGAACACTGCTGAGATGTTTGACCAGATCCCTAACCCTGCGGCCAAGTGGATTGGAAACTAGATTAAGAGATGTTAGCACTGGTACATACTTTAGTGCAAGGGCCAGTGCTGATGCTTCATCTTCACCCATATTTGTATTCTTCAGGCCCAGGTTGGTCAGATTGGGTACATTGTTCAGGCTCTTGGCCAGTTCAATAATCCCGTGACCCAGGGCATTGTCGTGTATATTCAGTTCTTCTAACTTGTTTAAGTACTTTAATGAGGCAGCAATTACCGTACATTCCTTTTCTCCCATTTGTACATCCCACAACACTAATTCCGTCAACTGTGGCACGTGATGAAGATTCTCAGCCAAATGACTCACACCACTGTGTAAAGGGTTGAAGGACAGGTCGAGCTCACGC